GGTTACGGTTTCCAAAATTTTTTTCTTTCTTTTTTTTTTTTTTTTTTTTTTTTGAATGCTTGATTTTTTTTTTTTTTTTTTTTTTTTTAAATGCTTGATTTTTTTAAAACAAAGCGAGTATTGTGTGTACTGTTGTCATACGTACCATTTAAATCTACGTAATTTTGAATTTTGTTCATATAGTCATATTTTTGTAAAAAGGAAGCCTAATTAATTGTGTATAAAATATTTTGTCGGTTTTCCTCTAAATATTCGTTTTCCCTTGCCCGAATAAAAAGAAAAATCATAAAACACGTAAAACCATACAGACTGTACATAGAGTGTACAGACTGTACAGATTGCTAACAAAAATTTCATATGTAAATTTGACCAATATCCAAATATAATTTACATAAATTCATCAAATAAAAATGAAGGAAAGGATGAAAGAATTCTAAAAAAGAGTTAATAAAATCCTAATAATCTACCGTCCGCACGACCACTTAAAGCGGCAGATAAAGCAGCAGTTGTAAGAGCAGTAGTGGTACTTGCATTCCAACCGAGTTGCATAGTTATTTGCTGAGTTAAGAAACGCCAAAATTCATCGACTAACCCACCACGTAATAAGACCATGATAACCAAATAATATAATACACCCGAAACTTTACGAGCGATTAATTTTCTTAAAAGTTTTTGTAAGAAAGACTTTAGTTCAGTTGATAAAGACAATAAACTATGAAATCTTGAACGAGATTTTTGAGTCTTTTGGGCATAAGAAATATTATAGTTAGGATCATTCCGTAGACGAGGAGGATTAGGATTGTATTGTACGGAATTGATTAAAATAGTAGGAGTTAGTGGATGAAGAGATGGTTGATTAAGATGGTTATGCGACGATAATGCGGACACATCCTGAATATTCTGAATATTCTGATTGTTCTGATTATTCTGATTAAATTGGGAGCCGCGAAGATTTGGAGAATTAAAAGAAGAGGAGAGACGAGGAATTGGCCTTATAGGACTTGGAGAAAGGATAGGCTTTGTATCGATTTGCACGGAAGGAGACGTGTAAACCTGAGTCATTCTAAGCCAGTTTGGCACGTGATCTATACCGGGGGAAGAAGGTTTAGGGGTCGGAGGTCGACTGG